CTTCTTTATGATGAAAAAGACATGAAACAAGAATTTCTGACAGTAAAGACCACTGTGGTGTCTAAAGTCTTTACCATATCATTTGCATGAGCTTTTTCTCTTGCAGTAGTTCTTCCCTATTATCTGATGTTAAGATGATAAAAAATAATGTCTTTAACATATATACAGGGCAAAGACATGGCCAAGCAAATAGGAAGAAGGTCAGGTTTTGAGAACTTCCTATAGTTTTGCCTGCAACAGGAACACACAAGGGTCTAACCTTCCTGGGAGCAAGCATGAATATTCATTTACCCAAACCAAGGAACATTAAAATAACATAATTAAAATTAAATAAAATCTTTAAACAATTTTTCACTCAGGAATGTTTTTCTCCTCTAAGCATTCATTCCTGTAACCCAGGTGTTGTGGTATTAAAGGCTTATTTCCAGAGTTTTTCTCAATGATGATTTGGTTCATGTAATAAAAAGCAAGAATGTAGATTTGAAGTTACAGAAATTAATCATTTTCAATGAGTGGCATCCTTTGGAAAATTTAGAAAATAATGTCGTCCTGGAAGAAATGTCATGGGTTTGTCCTTGAGAGTATACATTCACACACCATTTCAAGTTCCTGTACCTGGTTCATGCTACTAGCTGAGTATATGAGTTCTTAGCTTCCCAGTGTAGGTGTCGTTTCTGACACAGCTTGTGACAACACAGTCAAAGTGATCATGTAACCGTCTGGAATCCAGAGTCACATTAAACTGTTTTATTAAGTGACCTAGACATTATGATTTATCAGACACAGAAGAGGCACTCACACCCATCTACCAAATTTTACATCTGGATAAGTAATAGGGGAAGCTTTGTTAACCAATCATCTTAAAGAAGTGGAATCTAGTTAAGGTGTGGCTTCCTGGAGCCCAGGAGAAAAACTGGGATAGACCAGGTGCTTGCTATCTGGGTGATTCCCATGGGACAGAGTGGAACTCGCACTTTCCATTCTTGTGGCACGAATTTCCCCTTATAATAAGTAAAAATATAATTGCTTATGTTTAAACAAGTCTGGTTATTTTCTGAATCGAGCTAAATCCTACAGATAAGTGTATTTATATAATTGAAGGAAAGTGCAAAATGAAAAACTGTTACATTATCATTGAATTCACAGTACTTCTGTCCATATAATATTGCAGGTGCAAACAAAATAGAGACTTCATAATGCTTGAACAGATTTCACACTTGTAGACTTGTTTTCTTCCCAGTCTTATGTAAGTAAATGTATGTTGCCTGAAGAGATTTTCAAAACATTGATAGTCATATTCCCTTCAGTATGAATCTTCTCCGGTCCTCAGAGTACTCTGATATGGAAAGGCTTAATAGACCTCTTATCCAGTAAAAGTTTACTCTTTTAACTTGTTACTTCTTGTAACCAAAAAGAAGAAAACTTTACCACACTGACTGCACTTAACGCGTTTAACAGGATGGACTGTGGAGGCACACTCTAATCCAGCACTTCAGAGACAGAGACAGACAAATCTCTGTGAGTGTAAGGCCACCCTCTTCTAAGAGTGAGTTCCACAACAGACTCCAATGCTACAGAGACACCCTTTCTCAAAAAATCAAAAAAAGGGTTTCTTTGTAGTACTATTTATTTCTCAAGATTTAAAGCCTGATGACACATACAAAGGCTCTACCACATTGGCTATAATTGTAGGGTTTCTATTCAGCATGCGTTCCTTGATGAATGTGTACACTTCTACGACATGCAAAGGTCTTACTACATTGATTACACTTATAAGGTTTCTCTCCAGTATGTGTTCTTTTATGTGGTTTTAGACTACTGAGTTGTGCAAAGGCTTTACCACATTGATTACATTCATAGGGTTTCTCTCCAGTATGTGCTCTTTTGTGAACTTGGAGACTATTAGTATATGAAAAGGCTTTACCACATTGATTACATCCATAGGGTTTCTCTCCAGTATGTGTTCTTTTGTGTATTTGCAGTTTAGAGCGCTCTAGAAAAGCTTTATCACATTGATCACACTCATGGGATTTTTCTCCAGTATGTATTCTTTTATGTGTTATTAGATGACTGATTTGTGAAAAGGCTTTATCACATTGATCACATTTATAGGGTTTCTCTCCTGTATGAATTCGTTTATGTGCTTGTAGAATACTGAGTTTTGAATAGTCTTTACCACATTCGTTACATTGATAAGGTTTCTCTCCAGTATGTGTCCTTTGATGTACTCGAAGACTACTGTTCATTGAAAAGGTTTTAGCACACTGATTACAAATGTAGGGTTTTTCTCCAGTATGTGTTCTTTTATGGATTTGGAGACTACATTTACATGCAAAGACTTTATCACATTCATTACATTCATAGGGTCTCTCTTTAGTATGTGTTCTTTTGTGTATTTGGGGTTCAGAGCATTTTGAAAAAGCTTTATCACATTGACTACAGCCATAGGTTTTCTCTCCAGTGTGTAATCTGTTGTGAACTTGCAGACTTCTTACATATGAAAAGTCTTTACCACATTGATTACATTCATTTGATTTCTCTCCAGCTTGTGCTCTTCTTTTAAGTATTTGGAGACAACTGGTACCTCCAAAGGCTTCAGCATTTTGAATACCATCATATGGCTTCTCTGCAGAATAATTTTTTTCATGCCTTTGAAGATGACTACAACATGCAAAAGATTTAACACATTGAGCATACTCAGAGAGTTTCTCACCATTATGGTTTCTCTCATACCTGCAAAGATAATTGGCAAATGCAAAAGTTTCACCATGTACATTACACTGATGAATCTTAATATCTATATGAATTAATTTTTTAATTTTGCTTTATTGTAAAGAGGAATAAAATTTTAAGTTTTATATTCATGTTGCTCTCCTTCAGTATGAGATGGGATGAAGGGGGGAAGACCTTGGACTTCCCACGGGACAGGGATTCCCAACTACTTTGGACTGGAGAGGGAGGGGAAGGCAGGTAGGTGGGAGTGGGTGGGAAAAGGAATGAGGTGGAAATTTTTAATTAAATAATAATAAAATAATAAAAAACAAGAGACTTTTTGGCTCCTCATAAAATAACTCTTTCAATAAGTTTGGCAAAGTCACAAGTACATGAGTAACACTGGCTTTACTACTGGGTATTTATTTTTTGGTCAGTTCTAAACATATACTTATTATATAATCAATGTGTGTATGTGTGTTCCCTGTGCAATATCTGAGTGGTATGAAACTAAATGGATTGGCAGCTCTACGGCATAGTTCTCATGGGACTATGACTCAAGTGGTGGTATCAGGTAAGGAATCATTTGTTTCTCTTCTGTTTTTAGAGGAATACCTTGGAAGACCAGTTATGTCATATTGAGGCATATGATTTTATGAGAAATTAATACACATCAATATACTTTAAGCTCTGCTCATTTATATTATTGTTTTTCTTTAAATGTTCCAGGACAAATTAAAACTTCTTC